CTACTTGCTCTCTCTCTCTGTCAGATAAATAAATAAAATAAAACATGCACGCAGTTTTTTAGCAGGTATTTGTAAATGCATAAGTTGTCTTTCTCTATGAGAATTAATCAAAATTATAGCATTTCTTTTTTTGCATGTATACAGTGTTTATGTTTGTTATGTCTTTACCTACTAAAAGCTACTAATGGAGTTATTAAATCACCATCAAATCTCATAAAATCACATGGTTTCTTTTACCCTCTACCTTCACAATAATCATTAGTTTCAGATACAGGAGGTTTATCCTTAGATATATGGTTATGGCCTACGTCTTGGTCAGGGTGATGGCTAAGGAGGTATGTTCAATTTGTAAAAAATTATAGGACAGTGTCTTAAGATTTGTTTATTTTCCTGTATGTTTTAGTTCAGCATAACTTTACAAACAAAATGGGAGTAGCACTCACTAAAACTGTACATCAATTCTTTTGGGACCTATTGTTACCTCACTTTTTAACATGTAGACCAAAAACATGTAAAAGCTGAAAGTAAAACTTTCTTCTAAACATTAGAAATATATTCTTCTATGAATATGTTTCTTGTAATTTAAATTTTGTCAGTGTGGGTAATGACTGTGTACATTTAAGAGTAGTAATCTAAATATGCAGTAAATTTCAAATGACTCCTTTTTAATACTGGATAATTTTAATTTTACTGTACTAACAAGACAAGCCAGCAGAAGCCCTATCTTGAAAGTAAGATTAGTGCATGTATTTGCTTAATGAAAATTTCCCCCAAATCCAGGAATCTAAGCCTTAAGAGTATGTATCACTACTATTAGTTGGAATCTTTCCAACTACTAGGGCAAAGGAGTGAAAATCTTAGTCATTGCCAAGTTCTCACAGTGTATTTCTCTGGATCACCAACTAGAAAACTCCATATAAGTTTTAGTCAACCAGTCTGTTTCAGAATTCTAAGTACACCAGCCCTTTGCGTTTAAACATTGTTATTAAAAAGTTCGAGTCAAATTTTTATTAATCCAACATATTTATAAATGATATCTGGTAATTACTGCAGAACTCTGTAATTATCATAAGATCACCTAACACAGAATACCTTGCTGGCCTTTTTAGAAACCGCTCCCTGGAGTAATTAATATATTGTATATAAACACACACGTGCACATACATATATACGATGTTGTGTTCTGGTGGGAGAAGCGGATCATGAAGTGACTCAACTTTACCAAGTGAAGAATACACAGAAATGATCATACTTGCAATAAACTCCAAAATATCAAATGTGAGATGGCCATAATATTCTGACGACCACGGGGCATGCATACACACAACTGACTGGCTTACTGCAATTTCCGAATCATGAAGCCTGACATGGTGAGGTACAGTAGTTATATAGTTATCAATCAAGGAAGAAAGAAAAAGAACACTAAGTCCTTACAGAAGGTTTTGGAAGACATAAAGTCTAGATCTTTTTGTTTTTCTACCTTCTTTTGTAAAGTTTTTGTATCTCATTTTTTTTGGTAAAATGTTTCCAAATTCATTTTCTATTTATTTAAAATAAGTTAACAACTTAAAACTAATAGTCGTTTTCACTGTAAACATGTCACGCATGTTCTGCTGGTTCAAGGGTAAAATTAAAACAAGATATCCTCTGTAGAGCAAATATATTTATTATGCACTTTCATATACATAGGGATTTTTGCTTAATATAATACAAGGAATAAAATAAACTTTTACAATGTGAAATTCAATGTACATTTTAGGCTATTTACATACCCCAAACCAAGGAAAAAATAAAAAGAAAGCATTTGTCTGCAACTACATTTGCTGAGAAGTGTAAATGGAGAACATTAAGCAAACCAAACATTTGCATAGCCAAACAATACTGAGAAAATTATTTACTCCTGTTTTTAAAGTAGTGAATTATTTTTGGTAAGGATCCCAGTAGGGATGGGGGGATAAGGAAGAGAGACAAAAGATACTGGCTGTACTTTTAAGTACACAGGAGTTCCAGTCAATTTTCCTTCGAAAACCTTTCCTACATACATTCAGATTTTAATTTTTCATTACTGTATTTTCTATCACTTCCCTTATTACCAACTCATAACTTTTAGGGAACGGGCGCAGATGGAATGTTAAAAAAGTTATAAGCACATGGCGTCATAGGTGTGTAGTGACATCAGGTGATTTACAAAATTTAAACATTTGATTTTTAAAATAGCTATTTAGGCATTTTTAATTGAGGGGACTATTTATTAAGTCTTTTTCATGAAGCAAAAGCCATTTTTAGTCATGCTGTTAAATCCCCCACAAAAACAAATAGGCAAAGCAGGGCATCTTCAGCACCCTTATCATCCTTATCCTACCTAAAAGCCAGTTCTGTCCTATTCCAAAACACAAGTAATACAGAAACATCCAGAGGAATACTTACTTTTGAAAATCATATTTTTCCCACAGACTCTCTTCCTACCAACTGTTTCAAGTGTACATAATATGGATATGAAAACATTCAGCTCTTTGAAAAACGTAAATCCCTTATGTAATGAATCATATCTTTGCCCTTTGGCCACAAGGTGCATTTTTGTAAAAAAACAATAAAATTAAATAAATACAATTCCAATAATTCAAGGTTAATAGAAAAACTGGCAGCTTTCAGGGTTCTCTTCTAAAGAAAAATACACCTAGTAAGAAATTAGAGCTTCATCTTCTACAGTAATGTAAATGTACTGTATTTGAGATATGAGTAAGATTGGTTCTAATAATAGTATGAATTCATATTTATCAATAGAATCATTAACACTTTTAAGGCTACTTTGCAAGAGTCCTATTAAGTGTATTTAATAAATGTCCCATAGGGACAAAAACTCAGTACTTGAAACATTCACATTCGAGTTATCAATATTGCCATGTCACCTTAATATCGATTGAACTTCTCTCCTATTCCTGATTATGACTTGCCGATGACACAAACAAAATGTGTTTCGCTGACTTTAAAAAATAAGAGAAAACAAAAGCCTTACACGAAGATTCAAGTGAAACACTTATCACAACCAATTACACATTTCTATTTCTGTGAACAATGCATCACATGTGTGTCCTTCATATATGAAGATGACATTACTGACCTCTGTTACTCAAGATTTTTCTCCAGTAGTAGTGTTTTTGTGCTGAATCTCCAAATTCTCTTTCCTCATTCCTCTTTCTTATCAACAGCACATGGGAAAAATAGAATTTCTGGGCTTTCTAAAATTCACGGGGCTTATTCAGAGATCAAACTCACAACCCTGGCTTCTCAACAATCAATTCTAACCTTTCCAGACATACACACAACCCATCTAAGCCAGCCTCACTACTTTAGAGCCCATCTGGGAGGCCAAGGCTGTGGGTCCCCTGCTCCTTTGAGCCTGTCACCTTTGTTTTCCCTGGTCACAGACTTCATCTTTAACCCTGCCATCCGGTCATCCTGTGAGCAACTGGTCAAAGAAGAAAACAGGAAAGAGTATGTGGACAGAAAAGTGCAAATCCATCACTATTGTTTACCAACTATCAATAAAAAAATACACATGTGCTATGACTGACAGGTTAGTGGTGTCATCTGTGAAGGACCGCACGTATTACATCCAACTACCACGAAAACTGATTCAACTGATTTTGAGTCGGGGGCTATTTTGGTCATGCAGTGATTTACAAGATCGAAACAACTGAGAGAGAAGCCAGCATGAAAACTCATGCTGGGAAATGATATTTTATTTAACTGGACAGAAGAGATAAGTAGTCAATGAATTGTTCAGGGATCAAAAATCTACCCTCAGACAGGTGCATGTCCTTCTACGTACACACGCCCTGAGGCATGGCTTTGTCCCTGAGAATTTTCATGCCTCAGGGATGATAGTCTGTCTTCTTGGAGGTGGAGTGACAAGTGAGTGGAAGGTGAAACTGCATCCCAGTGAATGAAACAGAACTTTGTTCTGCCTATAGTCTGCTTTTTCCTCTCTTTCTCTTTCTCTCTTTTTCTTTTTTGTCATCTGTAGCCAGAGATTAGGAGGATTCTACTGGGAAATCCAAATTTAAACTACTCAGAGCAGCTCCCTAAAACACTAGAATTATTTTTTAAAAATCTGTCAACAAACCATTTTTCACCTCAGTGTGGCATTAAATAGAAACACATTTTCAACCAATGCTGAAGGTGTACTGAACATAAAATAGTTGCATGATTTATTTTATTGAGCAACATTTTTAAAGATACAAGAAACAAGCCATACACTACAACAATGCAAATGTGACTGAAACAATATGCTTAAGTTTCGTTTGCCACAAAAAAAGAAAAAATAAAATAAATACAAAGAACACTGCCTTTTCGTATATATTTGAATCATGGCACATGCACATTTATCAAATCTTAACTTAAAATTTTTTTCAGCTTTTATCAGGGAACTGCAGTATATATCTGCATTTAAAAACAAAAGTGCTTATTCTTGTGTAGTGAATACAAAGCACACAAAATGAAATTTTTTAAGCACAGAGAGTTACATTGAGAAGGCAGCCTTACTATTTAGGCACATTACAGTAATTAAGGTAACTGTACTGCAGATATCACATTCTTCTTTTTTTTTTCAGCAAATCAACAGGCATTTTATGTTTTCATCCAGTAGCTGAAGAACCACTCCAATCACAATGTCTTCTGTTTCACAGAATAGGAAACTAATGCAAAAGTTAAAAAAAAAATTAATTTCTACATTATACTTATATAACTACATATAGTTTTAAGACCCTATATAATTATAAATATACTTACTATGTAAAGCATAAAGTGGACACATCTATTAGAGATTCATTAGTCAACTTAAAAATCACTTTTAAGGAATCCATAAGATGTTTACCCTAATTCATGTGTTTTACTGTTTAATATATATTTATACTTTGCCTTTACAAAAGATGTCATGAGAGTTAGAGGGTTGTACCATCAGAACAAAATATTTTTAAAATAAATCACACGGCAGAATGAACTACTTTACACAAATTATTTTTAAACGATATCTGACCAGTCCTCCATCGATTCATATTGAAGGGTGTTTACTATTAGAAAGCACAGGAAGTTTATAATTTATAATAATGCTTCACCTAAAATACCCCTAAAATATAGCTCCAAAGACAAAAAAAGCAAAAGGAGAAAATATCAATTTACTAAAGTAAAGAGTACAATTTTGTTAGAAGATGAAAAATAATTAAGCAAAGTGGGATAAATATACTTGTAGTATAAATTAGCAAGATTCCTAACGAAACCTTTGGATTTATCTCTAATGAGAGAAATGTGCTTCTGAAAAAGTATCTATTATATAAAATTATGTATATATTTTCTCATTAACTTCCCCTATGTAATTAATGAAGCATCCATTGTGGTGGAAAGAAGAAAAAGTTTTTATTTAATAAATATGATTTACTTTGAGGTTTAAACATATAATTCTTATGTCTAAATATACTAGGCTCTAAATACCCTCTTGCCAATACATCCAACTTACCATCTTTCCTCACCTATTCTTGGTGTGTGCAAATTTTACTTGGAAGATTTTTAAGAGATCTGTCATAATAAAAATTACCTTTTGCTGATTAAATCTTTGACTTCTTCCAGGGTGAAAAAGGAAGGAAATTAACATTGACTACCTATCTACTAAGCACTACATACACTATTTTATTCAAACCAAAATGTGAATATTACAGAAATGGTCCTCTCCCCTCCATTACCATCAAAGAACTTTTAAGGGGGGAAATGACTGTATAGGAAGCCATTCTTAATCTGAGATCCATTAAGTATTATTATTCATTCATTCATTTATTCATTCACTCATTCGTTCATCCATTCACTTACTCAATACCTTTTCACTGAGAAACGACCATAGGTCCAAACAGTATTCCAAGTACATGGAATGTCAGAGAACAAAACATAAAAATCCCTACTTTCACAGAGTTTACATTTTAGTTGGGAAGAGACAAATAATAAACATAATAAAAAATAAAGTACATAAAGTTTGCTAAAAAGTTCTTTGGACAACAAAAAGCAGGAAAGGAAAAAAGAGAGTGCTGGTGGCGGGACAATTCGAATTCACAAGGAAGCAAAGGGAAGGTGTTCTTGAAAAAGAGGATGGCATCTGACTAGAGATTAGGCGAGGGAATTGGCCATGTGACTATTAGGGAAAAGAGTATCCTCAGTAGAGAGAACCCTACTTTTGACATTTTATTCTCTATGCTGATGAAATGTTACCTTTTATAATGGTGTTTCCTTTTTATAGTTGAAGCTAGGGTCAGAACCCTCAATCTGAAGCTTCAGGGCTTGTTTAAGGCTTAATTCCGTCTCGGAGGAAGGATATCCTTCTAACACTTCCTGATGCCCCCTGTCTTGGATTGTCCGTGGGACTGAAACCCTACCAAGAAAAACCTGGTTGCTCTGAAGATGGTAATTTGGATTGGTCATTATCCCATTTCTCTTCTTCTGCTCCCCACTTTGTTGATGAATGAGAAATTGCTGTTGAGATCGACCAATTTCTTGCTGAGTTGAAGGTACCATAATTTTGCACTGAGATTCTGCCGATATTTGTTTAGGTGGCACACTAGTCCCGGATTTGGCCGTTAGCCCTCTTTTATCAAACTGAGTCATTTCATATTCTAAAACCTTTGGCTGTGAAGAATTATTTTGTTTAGCTTTTTTCCCAGCTGCCCCAGATTTGCTGGAATTTTCTGATTTCCCCCCTTTATTTGTTTTAGTTGACTTCAAGCTGGGTTTTACCTGACTCCACTCAAATTCACTACTTGGTGAATTATGGCTCTGTCCCAAGGATTGTGTCGTGGAAGACGGGGACACAATTGACTGTCGACTTCTACTGCGTGGCAACGAATGCTGCTGAATTTGTTCTGTAAATGACAGGTTATGAAAGCTATCAATTGGCACTGTTTGAGCTGTTGCTGTGGATGATGTAGTTCTCAAAGATGAATTTTTCGAGCTTTTCAGGGAATTATTTGACAACGACGACTTCTGACGATCGACTGTAGAATCTGGAGATTCTGAAGGAGAACTGAATGCATGAGCTGGCCCATTAGGTAAACCACGCAATGAAGGCTGCATGTCCCCTCCACCAGTACTGCCAGAACTATTTGATTTGATTGTTAATGATTGCATTTTTGAAGACACCGACTGCAGAGGTTTTTGCTCCATTGTATGAACAGGAGATGGGGAACAGCCGTTCAAACTAGATGCACCATATTTTTCTAATAATTTAATTATTTGAGAATGTCCGTTTTTGGCTGCAACACGCATAGCTGTGCGTCCAAATTGATCAGCATGGTTTGGATCAGCACCGTGCTCTAATAAAACCTGCACAACATCAATGTGCCCTTCCTGGGCTGCAATACAGAGTGCAGTTGCACCCTGGTTACATGTATGGTCAACTATGGCACCATGCTCGATCAGAAGCTGAACCACTTTTACGTGGCCCTGCCAAGCTGCAGACTGCAAAGCAGATCGCTTTTCATTGTCGGCAGCATTGATGTCAGCATGGTAGGTTATCAGAACCTGCACCATTTCCAAATGGCCTTGCCAGCAGGAAACATGAAGTGCTGTCCTTCCTTCGGCATCACTTGCTTCTACATTTGCACCATTTTCTAGAAAATACTCAGCCATTGTAAGTTGGTTTTCTAAGGCCAAAATATAAAGCGTAGGCCTCCCATCAGCATCTTTGTAGTTAACATCAGCTCCATGGCTAAAGAGTAATTCAACAATGTCCCTATGCCCTTCTAATGCAGCAACCCGCAGTGCATTTCTCCCATCATAACCTCTTTGATCAATGTTGGATTTATTTTCCAATAATATTTGGACACAATCATAATGACCCTCTTGCGAAGCCAATATGAAAGGTATTCGTCCATCGTTATCGATCTCATTTGTTCTAGCACCTTGTTCAATAAGTGCTTCACATATTAACCTGTGACCTTCAAAAGCTGCCATATGCAAAGGTGTCCATCCAGCATCATCTCTGTGATTTTCATCTAACCCTCTATCCAGGAGAGTACGTACTACCTCAACATTTCCTTGGGCTGAAGCTATGCTGAGGACTGTCCTACCTTCACTATCGATGCTATCCACAGCTGCACCCCAAAACAAAAGTGTGTTTACAACTGAGGCATGGCCCATAGAAGCTGCTGCTAAGAGGGGTGTCCGACCATTGTTATCTGTGTGGTCTACATCTGCTCCCCCTTCTAGAAGCAAGTCAACCACATCGACATGTCCTTCATAGGCAGCTACCAGCAGCGGAGTCATGCCATCTTTATCACAATGATCTACTTCAGCACCTCGATCAATTAAAAGACTAACAACTGATGCATGTCCTTTACTTGCAGGCACACAAAGTGCAGCTACAGAGAGTGCAGTCCTGCCATCAACATCCTCATGATTCACTTCTGCTCCGTGGTCCAGGAGGTGTTCCACAATTTCTCTATGGCCCATGTATGCTGCTGCTATCAGCGCAGTTCTGCCTTCATTATCAGCTTTGTTGACTTCAGCACCGTGTTGTAGCAAATTCAGTACAATATCCTCATGTCCTCCCCAAGCTGCTGCTCTCAAAGCTGTTCGGCTATCAGCATCTGCACAATCCACTTTTACACCTGCATAAAGCAGTGCAGAAACTACCTCGGTATGGCCACCCCAAGCAGCAGATCTTAATGCTGTCCAACCATCTTGATCAGTATGATTAATATTTGCACCACACCCAATCAAACAATTAACTACCTTGGTATGTCCTTGTCTAGCAGCTAGGGTAAGTGGTGTATGTCCATGCGCATCTTCGATCTCTAAATCTGCTCCCCTGGAGACAAGTAAATTCACTACATCAAGATTGCCACTGTATGCCGCATTAGCTAATAATGTTCTCCCATTTGAATCACACTGATTTACCGAAGCTCCATTATCTAATAATGTCCGAATGGAATCCTCTCTTTCCAAAGCTTGTCGGACTATGCACGATGTGCGATCATCTTCACTGTTGACGTGAGCACCAGCTTTAACCAACAGCTGTAGCACTTCTTGTTCCTTGGGTATTAAAGTAGACAGGGAATCTCTGACAGGTGTACCATTCCATATCATCCAGAGAGCTAACTCAGCTGTCTCTAACTGTAAGTTTGAATTAATTAAATGCAATGCAAATTCTTGTGCTTCCAACGGTGTTAAATTCTTGGCTTGACAGGTATAACTCATAGCCAACATTCTGTGTCCTTCTGCTGCATTACATAAATACTTCTGAGTGCAGTGTTTCACATCCAGAAGCCACTCTGCAAAACTATAGTGGAATAGTATTTTAGTATTTCCTAGTCCATCAACAAGAAGTTTGGAGAGGACATCTAACTTACGTTGAAAGTCTTCCAAGGTTAATGACATATTTTTGGTCCATACCGCATGATATAATTCCGTTATGGTCAAAGGCCGGCAGGCTGCAAGAATCACATTCAAAATGGGCTGAACTTTTGCAAACTGTTTCCTTACAAAAAGTCTCTGACACAGCCAGAGATAGAGACCATTTAGAGTTCCTGGGATGTCACGAATCTCTCTTAACATAATAAAATTTTCTACAACTCCATCTAGAACTCGTTCTAGATAAAGAAAGCATCCACTGCTTTTAATGTGCAGTTGATTTAACATCTCTGCAGTTTCTTTTGTGAGGTGTTGTCGCAAAGCTTCTTCCTGATCTAAACGATGAAGGATATACTGCTGAACATCCTTAACAATATATGCCTTCCGAAGGTCATCTAAGCTTATTTTTCGAAAACCTAAAGAGACAAAAAAAGTAGATGTCATCAGCTGAAAATGATTACAGAAGTTGCCATATATTTGAAGAGGATGTCCTCAATATATAATAAACTAATAAGCAAAGAAATCAATAACAAATCAATTAATACTAATAAATTAACACTTATGAATATATATATACACTTTAAAGATTTATGCGTGGGTGGGGGGAGGGACACAGGGAAAGAATCTTCAAGCAGACTCCCTGCTGAGCGCAGAGCCCCCCAAGGAGCTTTGATCCCATGACCCATGAGATCATGACCTGAGCTGAAACCAAGAGACGGCTGCTTAACCGAATGAGCCACCCAGGTGCCACAATATCTATAAGTATATAAATCAGTTTTCTCTTCCTTCTGTAAAAATGCATTAATGGCAGATAAACTATTTCATTTTCTGATCTACAAATGGAACTACTTCTTATTCTATTAGTGGCTCAGGGCTCCTCTCAACTTTAATGACAAGAGATACTAAACTCAACATTGGAAAGTCTTACATACATATCCATGGAAGCACCTCGGTAAGATTTTCTGAACTCCCAAATGACTAAGGAAAAAAGGATGCCAAAGATAACAAGTAACACTTGCTTGTTTTTACAAGCTGATCTTTTTCATTTGAAAAATTTATATATTTCCATCCACATACCTGAATGTACACTAGCCTTAATTATGGGACTGAATATTTATATCCAATTAGAGTATTACCTGTCACTGCCTCTAAATTACTACTATAAATACACTTTCATAAAGAATACATACAAAATGCTTATAGTTTAAAAAATAAAGCTCTTCCAAATCTAAATGCTTAGTAATATGAATTTAGATAGAATAAATTGTGGGGCGCCTGGGTGGCTCAGCCGGTTAAGCGTCTGCCTTCGGCTCAGGTCATGATCCCAGGGTCCTGGGATCGAGCCCCGCATCGGGCTCCCTGCTCAGCGGGCAGCCTGCTTCTCCCTGTCCCTCTGCCCACCTCTTCCACTCATGCTCTCGCTCTTGTTCTCTCTCTCAAATAAATAAAAAAAAACTTAAAAAAAAAATCTCTTAGATAGAATTGTTATGTTATCATTAATGATAGTTATCTATTCATTAAAACAAAACTGAAAGTATCTGTTAATAATTTGAATATCTTGAGTTAAAGTTACTGAAAATAATTGCTTTTTTAAAATTGCAACTTCAAATCATTATATATGCAATTCTCTTATTATGAATATGCACAATTTAATACATTGCTATCAAAGCACTTAAACACATTTTTATAAGGCTGAAAAATGCTCAACATTTTTAGGGGGATAAAAACAGAATTTACTGAAATGTTGGACCATATCTCTGTTGAACCACTTTTGTACTCTTACTGAAAATATTTCCCAGGGTATGAAACTTCTTAGTGCTGCTGACAGTAGAATGACAGAGCCCCCCTGTGATAGGTGATAGGATGTGTGTCAGTATTTATATCCTGATGCTCACTGCAAGTATTTATTATCCTAAAGAATCTGTGAGGGAAGGGACTAGGAAATACAACAATAAGAAAGTCAACTCAATTCCGGCATATTGATACACTAGTAAATTATGTAGCCGTTAAAATGGTTATTAAAAAGACAATACAGTGACACTAAAAGGCTTTAGTTAAACTTTATTGAAAAGCAGGAAGTCAAATTGATATAAGTATGATCTCAACTAGGTAGGGTAACATACACAGAATTTAATAAATAATGTTAAAGAGTGGTTACTTAATATTTTATCCCTGAAAGATGTTAATATTTGAGTATGTTGTCATTTAAAACATTTTCTATATGGAGCATGTATTATCTTATAACCAGATATAATAAATATGTATGAAAATCTTCAAAAATACTTGCGGATTAATTTCTTTGTGCACAAAACGGTTTCAAATGGGCTATTTCCTTCAGTCCCATAACACACACCAACTGCCATTAGCCCACAATAATAACATCATAGGCAGTCAAGATTCTGCTTAAGGGCCAAAGTAATTTTCATTAAATTGACTCTAATCTGAAGCCATTAATAAAAATGCTACTGGTTAGTGTAGTGAATACATCAGGAAAGAGAAAATCTCTTTCCAACAATGTTAAATCCTCAGATATGAGTGGATGAAACTTATTTAGACTAGTAAAAATCTTAATGTTCTTTACCTATGGTGATACACCTACCAATTTTAATTCTGAACGCACTCATTTCAATTCAAAGCCCATATATTTCAACTTAAAACAATAGCAAAAAGCAGAAAGAAATATGTAGGACATAGGCAAGGAAAACTGAAAAAAGTCTAGGAAAAAAGTTGAATAAATGAAAAAATATGCTATGCTCATGGATGGAAAGAAAGCATATTTTATATTTCAAAATTCTCCTATATTAAAAGTTTTAACCAAGTTTAGTATTTTTTGTTTATATCATTAATAGTTATAATTTTAAAAAGTATGCTATTAAAGTCAATCTGGAGGAATAAAAGTAAAAATATGTAATTCAGAATAATAATATTGGTGACAACGAGGGCAGGGAAGTAAATGTACCAAAAAAAAAAAAAATATTAAACCAATGTGGCATTTGCACAAAAATGTCAACAGCTAGTTTAGAAGATAAGACAGATAGTTTAGAAATATATCAATAACATATCAATATACATACATGGCAATAATTACACTTACCGGTAAACATCTTAGTAACAGCCTTACTCTGTTTTCGGGCAGAACACAGAAGTAATAGCCATGGTGGAAAGAACTCATGGTGACCAGCTAAAAGCTCTGCAACAGTTCCAGATAAGCTGGTAGACGTCTGTTCACCTTCAGTAATGTTACACCCTTCATCAACAGAATCAACAAGCAGATACAGGCTTTGCTGGGGAGGCTTCATTCCCAAAAGAGGGAGCAGAACACATCTGTAAAACACATCCAAATGAACATTTTGAATGTTACTGGCTATGATGTTTAGTTTATCATTCAAACATTAGTCATACAGGTTATAAATATATTTTAAGAATACATAAATTAAGGTTTTAGAATAAAAATATTGTACAAGTTTCAGTTCCTTACTTTAAGATACTAGTCCTAAATAGTCCACATTTTCAATAACAACATTTTCCACAATAAAGTGAGTGAGAGAGAGAGAGTGTGTGTGTGTGTTAGTAATTCAGCTAAGGAGGACAGTAGGAACTTTAGGAAACCACATTTCAATATTCCCTTCCTGATTTTTTGAATCACCAATAAAAAGCTCGAATTGCTTATAACCAAGTTAAAATGTGTTGCAAAGGAAAAAAAAAAAAAACCTTTGGGGACCACTTTAATAAAAAGAAAATAGCAAGTGTCCCATATCATTTAGAAATGTTTCATTATTATTTCTCTTACAAAATGACTACAGGCTATACTAGCTTGTCACGCACAAATTTTATTTTTAAAAGATGGTACAAAGATAAATTACTATAATCTACGTCCTGTTTGGTGTATGTTCAAATTTCAATGTTAAAGAACAAATTATTACATTTAATTCAACAGAACAAGCATTTCCTACTCATAACTTATACTGCAATCGAATATAACATTTTCATAACTGAAACAATGCTCATTCATTTTCAACAAACATTTACTTAACCATGTCATGTGCTGAATAAGGCACTGAAAGGGACATAATCCATTTAGTTATGAATACCAAAACTTTACAGCTAATACTTTCTACAACTCTCTTCTTAAACTTTCAATCCCATAGAAACCAAGATCTAATTTATCACTATGTCCTACCAATATTTCTTTCTAAAAATCTCTCAAACCCACCTCAGTCTGTAACATCATCATCCTACTCCACGCTACCATCATCTCTCTCACCTGGGCCACCATAATCACCTGGATGTTCTGTATGTTACATGTCTCCAACCACTTCCCCAGAGTTCTACTGCAGCCAGAGGAACCTTTTTACAATACTACTCCAGCCACACTAGCCTTCTTTCAATGACTTTTATTAAATAAGATACAATTACACAAGGACCTTTTCATTTTTTTTTTTAAGATTTCATCTGTCAGAGACAGAGAGAGAGAAAGAGAGAGAGGGAGCACGCACAAGCAGGGGGAACAGCAGGCAGTGGGAGAAGCAGGCTTCCTGCTGAGCAGGGAGCCCGATGCAGGACTCGATCCCAAGACCCTGGGATCATGACCTGAGCCGAAGGCAGAGACTTAACCGGGAGCCACCCAGTCATCCCACACAAGGACCTTTTCATTTGCAGTTTTCTCTGCCTGAAATGTGCTTCTTTTCTCTCTTCATGTAATTAACTCCTCCTTAATCTTCGATTGTAAGCCTGAGAGTCACTTTTCCAAGACTGAATCCCTGTAATATGCTTTTATAGTATTAAAAATATTTCTTTCATAACACTATCAAATTTGCAGTTAGACTTATTAATTTAATGTCAATGATCCTTATTTCTTCCTTTACACTGTAAGCATCAAGAGGGACCATGTCAGTTTTGCTCATGAGTGTACTCCAAGACTTAGCATAGTGCTGTGCCCATAACAGATCCTAAATAAAGACTTGACATTGTTGTAGGCTAGAATGGAAAACAAATAACTTCAATGCATTATGCTCAGTGCTATGATAAAAAGCGGTAACATCACTAATGTGATTGATAAATGACCAACTCAAGGGAAGTAGAGAGGAAAGGCAGAGGATGTCAGAGAAATATTCAAATATTAGGTGCTCAGATGAATTAAGTTTTGAAGAACCAATTATAGTTTTCCAGGAATTGTAATAAATTTATAATACATTTTACAATAAATTATAATTAAGAGGAAGAAGGGCAATCCTGACAGAAGGAATATGCTAAATTTGGGAAAATTTACTTTACTGTACCTTATGTATATATTTCCTCTATTATGAGAACGAAGAAGGTTGATGAATAACAGGTACTATAGTAATATTTATACCATAGTATATAACATACCAAAGTAATGTACTATAATCACTGCTACTCGAGAAGTAACACACAGTGCTATGGGAGTACACAGAGGGCCAACTTAGAACTTACTTTTGACAGGGATAGGGTGGGGGAGAGCTCAGGGAAGCCAAAAAAAAGGAGCTTAGTCAGGAGAAAGAGCTAAGGTAAGGACAACACACAGGACCAAAAAAAAAAAAAAAAAAAAATCTAGTTGTGGGAACCTCACCTGAAAGTCTTGAAGAAGAGAAAGACCACTGAACAAAGTATGGAAGAAAAATTAGGAAAATACGTAAACACTGGGTTTTATAAACTTTATTATGAAATTTGGACTGTGATCTAAGGGTACTAAAGAGCCACTGAAGGACTTTAAAGCAGGAAATTGAGATGTTTATATTTGTGTTTATAAAGGTAACTGGCTATATTTGAAGGAAAGCCTGAAGCAGGGTAAATCTACAAGGGAAGAGTGAGTTGGGAGGCCACTGCTTATAAAAAAAAAAAGGGGGAGCACCACTGCTAACTTTAATTCAGTGTTTTACATGCTTTAAGTACTTTACATATCCATTAACTCATTTGATTTTCACATAAACTCTTTAAGATGGGTACTGTTATAATACCCATTTCCAGATGAGGAAATCAAGGCACATGAGGATAAGTCATTTGTCCAAAGTTAAAGGAAGGGATTCAGGTTTAAGGTCTGACTCCAGAACCTACACAAGGATGGACCATTCATCCTAAGGTTTGCCTGGGACTTTCCAAGTTTTAAGCACTGATTTGAGAAACTAGCTGCACCTCCTCCCCACCCCCAACTCCTAGGCAAACCAGGTGGTTGGTCACCAGAATTTATACTCTTAATCACTAGGGTCTACTAATTATATTATAGCAAATATTATAAGGATTTGAGGGAAATCTGGTGGGTGAAATTGATAGGATTTGATGATTATTTTGTTGCTTTTGCTTACTAGTTGTTTGCTCTTCTTTTTATAGTTTCTTATAATAAAAACTTAAATAATTTTTTCATACTTTCCTTCTAATATAATCCTTTAATACTATGAATTCCCTTAACTATTTTCAATATCATCTAGTTCAAAATAATTTCCCTTTGATTCCTTCTCTGAATTACAGGTTTTTTAGATGTGAGTTGTATAGCTTTCAAATATTTGGTGATTTCCCAGGTTTTTTAGGTTATTGTGTTATTATCATTACTTAATTCAACTGTGATCAGGTAACATACTTCATATAACTTGCATACCCTTAAATTTATTAGGATTTGTTTTATGGCCCAGAATATATCTATCTTAGTAAATGTTGTATGGACACCTGAAAAGAATGTGTACTCTGCTATTGTTGGGTAGACTGTTCTACAAATGTCAATTAGGTCATTTGGTGATAGTATTGTCCAATTGTTCTTACTGATCTGCTGTTTATTTGCTCTATCCATTATTGAAAGGGGAGTGTTAAAATATCAGAATGTATGTGTGGATTTGAATGTAATTACGTCTTCTTGCAACTGTATTAGTTTTTGGTATTTTGAAGTTGTGTTATTAGTAAGAAACAATTATGACTGTTATATCCTTCAGGAATTGATCCCTTTATCATTATGAAATGATCCTCTCTGATCCCTGGTAGTATTCTTTTCTTCAAAATTTACATCACCTGATATTAATGTAAGCTTTTTCTTTTGATTAGGCTTAGGATAATATATATTTCCTCATTCTTTTTCATTTAGACTATGTGTCTCTTTATATATAAAGTATACTGTAGGCAACATATAATTAGATCTTACATTTTTATCCAAGCAAACTGCCATTTAATTAGGATATTTGCCATTTACATTTAATATGATTATTGATATGGTTCAGTCTAAGTCTACCATGTTCTTGTACATATCTTTTGCAAGGTATAAGCACATCTGTAATATATATTACTAGGATTACAGTTGCTAGGTTAAGGGGCATACCTGTGTATACTTTGGTGGTAATTGACAAAACACTCTCCTTAAAAATTACATAAATATATATTCCCAACAGCTATGTAAGAGTGCCTGTTTAATTTTTACACAGATACATAAAAAAATGGCATCATTGTAGTTTTAATTTACATTTTGTTTATCATGAGGCCAATCCCATTTACATATGTCTAGGAGTCATATTTCTTTTTCTTTAAACTGTGTCTTTATATCTCTTTGCCCATTTTACAAAAGATTGTCAATTTTTCTCTTTTTGGGACTCCTCAGTATTAAGAAAATACATTTGTTGCTAATTTTTTCCACTATTTGTTATTTTTCCTTTTGACTTTTTAACATATTTTTTTTTTGACATGCAGTTTCTTTTTTTATTTTTATACAGATAATATATCAGAGTCTTTTTTTCTTTTATGATTCCTGAGTTTTATGTCACATTTCTGGGGGGCCTTCCCAACTCTAAGCTTGAAAAGCATTTCCTCATGTTTTCTTCAAAAGCTTTGAACATTTTACTTTTATTTTTTAATCAAATTCTGACATAAAGATGTGACCTAGGGTTCCAAATTTTTTTCCACATGTCTCCACAGATATCCCAAAACTATTTATGAGATTATCTTTCTCCTATTGATTTGAAATATCTCCCTTTTCACAGAGTAAACCCTCATACATGTTTTGGGCATGTTTCATCTCATTCCATTGTCTTACCATCTTTTCTCCAAGCACTTTTTTTTTAAAGATTTTATTTGTCAGAGAGAGAGTGTGAATGAGAGTGAGTACAAGCAAGGGGAGTGGCAGGCAGAAGCAGAGGGAGAAGCAGGCTTCCCACCGAGGAAGAAGCCCAATGTGGGACTTGGTCCCAGGACCCTGGGATCATGACCTGAGCCCAAGGCAGATGCTTAAGCTACTGAGCCACCCAGGCACCCCTTTCCCAGCACTTCTATTTCTGCTTCGTGCAACTGTTTAACTCAGGTAATTTCTTATTAATTACGTTTTCATTTAA